ATAAAAAGTCTGGTTAATCTGTTCTGGGTGGTACTGTAGGTTATCTTGTTGTCTTTCAGACGAATTGCCTTTATAGCCCTTTTCTGCTTGCTGCTTTCTTTAATTGATAGGCAAGTAGTTTTACTTGGTTTATTGCCGAATTCATAATTATTTTGTCTGATAAGATTCATTTGTGTTATGATTTCATTTGTTAAGTCAATATTTAATTTAGCTCTGGCTGTGTTTAATTGTTTCCAGTTTTTCATCTGTCGATGCGGATTTATGAAGTACTTCACATCTGTTTACTTCTCTTTCAAGTTCTTGTCTGAGCTTAATTTTTTCACGTTTTTTAAAAGATGTGTTTGAGATAATAAGTCCTCTTAACGCAGCTTCCCAAATACTATTGGGATCTATAGAGGGGTCATTGTTTTCTTTTATATAGTAAATTATCCACATTCGCATTTTTAATTTGAATTTTTCGTCTCTAAGTAAGGAGTTATCACATTTCCCAGCGCCTGGATACCAATTCTCCACTCTCCAAGTGAATAGTTAAATAAACTCTTGCATGATCTGAAATATTATGGAATCAATTTACATTATTTTACCCTATGCATGTATTTTTGAGGGAATACAAAAATTATATATTCTAGAATAAGAGTTGTGGACATTTAAAAAGAAAGTATAATCTTTGACATCCTGATTTAGTTGACGCCATACATCAATAAGGCCGCATTCTGCCACAAAGCCCCTGAAGGACCTTGAGGATTTAAGACTGAACCTATCTACCAAAATCTGTGATGTTTGGATACATTGTTGATGAGTTATGAGCATTTCTTTCTATTTATTTAAATACAACTGCTTTCATTGTGAGGCGATGTTTTACAGTGAGAATAGCTGCTGAGTTCAGTGCATAAAGCAGAACAGTGTGTATAATATATATTCTTGAAAAGGTCGTGGGCTGTGTCCCAAGTTTTGCGTACCGAAACACATTTTAGCACATCGTCATAAAAAAAAAGTACAGGCCACGCCCACATTTGTCATTCGTTGTGACACTTTAAATATAAGTTCATACTCATCCCCAGAGTATGTCTAAAAAAAATAAAAATGATTTTGTCTATCAGTTCATGAGTTATACATTTGTCATGTTTTTGGCGCCCCCTATAGTCCAAAATGGAAATTGATTAGCTTTAAAAAACGTAATTTTTCAAAAAAACTGCTCACTAGCGCCCCCTATTGTGTGGTAGTCACATATAGTTTCTCAGAACTGACCAACAGCTGCAATTCCTACACTTATTAAATATTGTCACCCATAAAACAATGGATATTAATATCCAAAAACATGGAGATTGCGTTTTTAAAACAGTGGCGATAACAAATCAACACAAAAAATATGAAGCCATTTCTTCTGCCAAGCCATTTTAGAGACGTGCTGTAGTCAGGACCTCGACACAAACTGGAGAACCCAAATGCACAGTGTTGAATGTAACAAAAATTGACTTTTTAATGTCAATGAACAGAAAATCCCTCTTAACAGAGTAAGTAACTGGAATAACAAAAAAAAACACTCACAAGGAGGAAAAAAAACAAGTGTAACAAAAAGAGAACTTAAGATAAACTTAAAGGTAGGGTAGGTTATTTTGGAGAAACCAGCTCGAGTGCGCTAGAATTTGAAAATACACCACCGGAAAAAATCTGCCACTTCCTTACAGAGCCCCTCCTCCAACACACACGAATGCGCACATGACCAATGAGGGCACGAGATACATTTGTGCACAATGGAAGGCTGACAGGCAGGTAGGCCATCCAATCATTTTAGCCGCTAAAATGATTGGTCGTGCTTTTTACAGTACCAGGGCTTCCACAAATGACACTTTTTTATGGATTTATTGTCAAAGCACTTAAGATATTCATTGCTATCGGGATGTTAAGAGCATTCCATGGAATATATCAAAAAGTGTATCTCGAGCCGGTTTCTCAAACGTACCTACCCCACCTTTAAGTCTACAAAAATAACAAAATAACAAAACCTGACAAGACTGGAAACGATCCTCTCTTTCCTGGCCTGGCACGACTACACCACAAACAAGACTAACTGACACAGGACAGGAGGGAGACGAGACTATTTAAACATGTGGTGAGTGGGAACAGGTGGAAACAATCAGGGGCGGGCAGCTGACGATGGCGGGAAAACACACAAAGGGAGGAAGTAACAGGGGCGGAAATGAGAGACAAGAGGTAAGTACAAAATAAAACAGGAAATGGAAAACGAGACACGACATGAAACACGGGGACTTAACTAGAGATGAATGACATAAATAGACAGACCTGACATGACGTGAATAAACATGAAAACCTGACTAAACATGAAATGACAGACATAATACATAAACATAACTAACAAATTTGACGAGACACAACAAAAGTATGAAGGTAGATATGGTGCAAAATGCGAGAGCGTGTGAAACCTGATGTGAGCACTTGCAGAAAAAAAATCTGAGCTTGTGTGCATACATTTACACTTGTATAAAATATCCACGTAACTGTGAACCAAACTTACACTTGTATAAAATATCCACGTAACGGCCCGTCTACACTACAGGCATCAAAAAATCTTGAAGCTGGGCGTGTCTGAGGCTTGCCGATTTCTCGCGCCCAAGGCGACCAACAACCAATCAGGAATCTCCCGCCCGCCCCCGGCATACAAAGCAATAGCAATGTTAAAACGAAGTAAACTGGATATAAAATCCCCAAACAGGCGAAAACCTACCAGTTTCATCCACTGTCTCTGCCTCCTCCCTCCATGCCTCGCTCCTCCGGTTTGTATCCCGGTAGATGAACAGAGACTGATCATACAGCACCGGGTGATTCACTACCGCTATAATGAATTTTCCCTCCATTTTTTGGAATATGAGGAAATGACCTGCGTAGTCTCTCCCAGCATACACGCGGTTTGATTGGCTAGCGCTTGTACTGTCAGATTTGCATACGCAGGATTTGATTGGCTGATGCCAAGCATCGAGCCTCAAAAGTTGAACATTTGTTCAACTTTTGATGCCGATAGATGCTCGTGATGCTTGCAAAGCCATGCCATGCTCCCCACAATGCAGTTCGGCGAAGTTTAAAAAGCATTTTTTGATGCCTGTAGTGTAGACGGGCCGTAACTGTAAACCAAATTTGAAGTCACAGAAGAAAAAAAAAAGTTTTGTAGCTTGTCGAAAAAAAATGAACTTAGTGATGGAGCAGACTGAAAACTCATCTCTTTCGACTCCACTTCGAGTGATATAATTACTAACAAAGAACTGCTAACAGAGCACTTATATACTAACAAAGGACTGGCTTATCTATAGCCCGTTGAGTAGCACTTGAAATGTTTGGCTCTATGAAACCTGATGTACTTATATGATTCTGTTTTCTTCAAGGTTGTGTCTTCCTGGTCGAATGTACTTATTGTAAGTCGCTTTGGATAAAAGCGTCAGCTAAATGCAATGTAATGTAATGTAATGATGAAATGTTCACTTGCCGAAAAATACATATTTTTTAAATATATTTTCCATTACAGCTGCAACTTGGTTATTACAACCTCTCAAATCAGTCATTACAACTTGACGAATCTGCTCTGTGGCAGTATACATTGACGAATCTGCGGTCTTGACTTTTGCTACACTTCTTGCGATAAATGTGTCACAAAAGTAATTTTCACCTGTAGATGTGGGGGGAGGGAGGGGGGTTGGAGCAAAGGGGCGGAGCTATCAGAACGACGAGGCTCGGGTCAGTCACACAGTCACAGCCACAGTCAGGTCGAACCGGATGACTTCGGGGCTAACGGTTCGTGTCGCTACCAGTCCGCTGACATGGCCCGTCAATCAACGGTAAGTTTTGCCCATTACTTGCCCAGTATTACTTTGGATATTATTATTGTGATTGAGGATTAAATCCGCTATGAAGACCACCGTTTTATATCGTGCAGTTTAGCGGCAAAATAATGTCAGTTAGCCAGCTAACGCTAGCTTTGTTGAGTTTATGCTAGCTAAACAAGTAGTGGTTGTAGTAATTAATATATTATAGCCTACTGCTTTGGCACTAACGGTTGATAACCGTTTATGAAAATAAAACCAATTGAACTGTACTGAAATAATGACAAGTTTTATAATTGTCTTGGGCTCCTGCTGTGTTTTTAAAGCCTTTGTAAATTATCCATGCTATTTTCCTAATTATCCTTCGCTCATCAGAAGCCAACCTCCTTTCTATCCCCAGACGAACCAAGCACCGGACCTGGGGTGACAGAGCCTTCTCCATCTCTGCCCCCACCCTCTGGAACTCCCTCCCACAACAAATCAGAGACTGTACTGACCTCCCCACCTTCGAAACATTGACCAAAGCTTTTAACTTGTGATTGATGACCTGTCCTTGTGACTAATGTGGTTTTTTTAACTTTATTTTCTTACATCTGTAAAGCGTATTTGAGCACCTGATAAAGCGCTTAATAAATAAAATGTATTATCTTTATTATTATTACATTAATTGAATAGCTAGAGTTTCTTGTTTCTCTTCAGACTCTGATTTCTTGAAATGTGAAAGAAACACATGAATAGCTTAAAATACAATAACCTGTTAAATACCAACCAATAGTATCTGACCTTTTTGTTTTGTGACAATGAATTGTAAGGAATTTTGCCAACTTAATTTAAGAGTTAGAGCCTACATTTCACAAAACTACGATTTTAGCAAAGTGTTAACGTAAAACACAAATTTGTTTAGTAGAATTTCATTTTTTCTTATTCTTTACCCTGTTCCCACCCTCTTCAGATGTTTTATGTTACATTGAAAGGATCGTTATACTCTGGTTGTGACATTGTACTGGTAGCCTTCACCAAAGCTCTACTGAGATATAGCTGGACATGCTTCAGTCAAATTCCAACTCTGTTATTTCTGAAGGTATTTCAAAGATAAATGTATTCATCAGCTCACCTGAAACATTTGACAATCTATTTCCACTCGTATCTGCAGAATCAAAGCCCTTGAAAGTCCAAGCAAAGAAGACGACACAAAATGGCTGACGTACTGGGTGGTGTATGGCGTCTTCAGCCTCGGAGAGTTCTTCTCCGATATTTTCCTCTATTGGTTCCCATTCTACTACGCTTTTAAGGTGAGCAAAGACTGAAGGACCAATGATTGTTTCAAATTATTCTAAGCTTACTTTGGTATAACTTCAACAGAACTTAATTTAGTGTGAATTCTGCCCATTTTAAGGGCAGTTGGAATCGCTAAATGGAATTACAGATGTGTTAACCTGTTAAGTCCTGAGCCTGTTTTTCAGGTCTCAGGCTCGAAAATGACATCCCCAGAACAAATGACCATATCTTCCCTTCTAAAAGGGTTAAATTAATAATCTTTCTTCTCAAATAATTGATAAACCTGTGAGTTGGATGTAGAAAAGTCAGAATCAATATAGATGTTTTTTATTTAAAAAAAAATTCAGATTGAACATAGTAAAAAACTGTAAATTATAGTGTCCGTCCAAAAAATATGTTGTACTTATAGTGAAAACTAACCTTGGATGATGGGTTAGTAGACTAAAAGCTGTACGAATCCAAAGTACAACATATAATAAGTACCCTGTATCAAGATTGATGCAAAACAAGTGATATTTGACCTTTTTAGACAGATTTAGCAAAACAAAACTCTTCTGGGGCCATTTGGGTGGTAGGAATGGCCTGCTCTACTATTTTAAAACGGAATTGCAGTTTTATTGCTTATAGATTATCAGAACATTTCAAAGGGGACACAGCCACATTGGATATTAACCTATGGATTAACTACACCATCGTTTTTATCGTTTTTATCGTTTTAATGCCATTGAAGACCAGTTTAGACCAGACAAAGACAAAGGTAAGCCATGTTAGCGTTGTGGGCTACCTAGCGCCACTTGTTTTGATGTACGTTTTTGTTGATAATGTCACAAGTTTGTATCTTTCAGTGTTCAGGTGGGCACCGTTAGATTCTGTGTCTTTACGATCATAAACGATGTGTTGGATGTGCAGCTAGGATAAGTAATAAGGGAGCTAGGAGTGATTTTCGGTGCAGTAATAGGTTAGCATTTTTCGCTCGGGGCTAATTCAGAGGCTCACTTTTAGCATTGTGTTTTTTTTTTTTTTGTTTTTTTTTTTAAAAGATCAGTTAAATTAGTTTTTTCCCGTTATATGGATATAAAATATTCATAGTTTATTAAATATTAAGGTTCCTTAGACGTTGTTTCCTGCAAATGACGCGATTTCGGCCCCGGAACCGGGTCCGTGGGGCTTAAGAGGTTAAAGGCTTCGGAATCCCCCCCATTGTAGTTAAAAACTGTAAAAAACTAGGGCCCCCAAACTGCATCTTGCATAGGGACCCCAAAAAGCTAGAAACTGCTCTGACTACGAAGCAGGATTTTCGTTTAGCAAGATAACTTCTGGGATTTCTGGTACTACGAAGCTGGTTCACTTTTTAGCGGGCTAGATAATTTATTCTGAATGGCTAGCCTGTGCCGGAGCAGGATAGCTTCCAGGATAAGAGATCAACTGTGCGGAGTTCTTCTTCTTTGCTTTAATGGCGAATCGCTTCCACTTGGAGCATATCACCACTGTACTGTTGATTTATTTAATGTATAAACTGCCCATATTGTTCATGTAGAACAGTGTTCACTTAAGCCTGAACATTGATTTTATTTTTCATTGAATGTAACCGTTTCAATAAGGATACATCTATTATAGGTTGAGGTAGAAACCATGGTGGAACAGCTGATAACAACAGTGTGCAGAGTTTAAAGCGATCAAGTCATATTACAGGATAAAGGAAATACAGTTTAAACTGCCGTTGCAGTTCAAATCACCGTCTGTGTGAACGTGAAAATGAATAGAATATCACCTCCCATCTTCAGAGCAATCTGACTATTATATTAGCGTTAAGAAAGCTTACTTAAATATCTGCCACAACATACACTGAACAAAAATATGAATGCAACACTTTTGTTTTTGCTCCCATTTTTCATGAGATGAACTCAAAGATCTAAAACATTTTCTATATACACAAAATAACCATTTCTCTCAAATATTGTTCACAAATCTGAAAAAAACTGTGATAGTGAGCACTTCTCCTTTGCCGAGATAATCCATCACACCTCACAGGTGTGGCATATCAAGATGCTGATTAGACAGCATGATTATTGCACAGGTGTGCCTTAGGCTGGCCACAATAAAAGGCCACTCTAAAATGTTCAGTTTGATCACACAGCACAATGCCACAGATGTCGCAAGTTTTGAGGGAGCGTGCAATTGGCATGCTGACAGCAGGAATGTACACCAGAGCTGTTTGCCCGTGAATTGAATGTTCATTTATCTACCATAAGCCGTCTCCAAAGGCGTTTCAGAGAATTTGGCAGTACATCCAACCGGCCTCACAACCGCAGACCACGTGTAACCACACCAGCCCAGGACCTCCACATCCAGCATGTTCACCTCCAAGATCGTCTGAGACCAGCGACTCGGACAGCTGCTGCAACAATCGGTTTGCATAACCAAAGAATTTCTGCACAAACTGTCAGAAACCGTCTCAGGGAAGCTCATCCGCATGCTCGTCGTCCTCATCGGGGTCTCGACCTGACTCCCGTTCGTCGTCGTAACCGACTTGAGTGGGCAAATGCTCACATTCGATGGCGTCTGGCACGTTGGAGAGGTGTTCTCTTCACGGATGAATCCCGGTTTTCACTGTTCAGGGCAGATGGCAGACAGCGTGTGTGGCGTTGTGTGGGTGAGCGGTTTTCTGATGTCAATGTTGTGAATCGAGTGGCCCATGGTGGTGGTGGGGTTATTTTATGGACGACAAACACAGGTGCATTTTATTGATGGCATTGTGAATGCACAGAGATACCGTGACGAGATCCTGAGGCCCATTGTTGTGCCATTCATCCACGACCATCACCTCATGTTGCAGCATGATAATGCACGGCCCCATGTTGCAAGGATCTGTACACAATTCCTGGAGGCTGAAAACATCCCAGTTCTTGCATGGCCAGCATACTCACCAGACATGTCACCCATTGAGCATGTTTGGGATGCTCTGGATCGGCGTATACGACAGCATGTTCCAGTTCCTGCCAATATCCAGCAACTTCGCACAGCCATTGAAGAGGAGTGGACCAACATTCCACAGGCCACAATCAACAACCTGATCAACTCTATGCGAAGGAGATGTGTTGCACTGCGTGAGGCAAATGGTGGTCACACCAGATAATGACTGGTTTTTGGACCCCCCCAGACCCCCCAATAAAGCAAAAATGCACGTTTCAGAGTGGCCTTTTATTGTGGCCAGCCTAAGGCACACCTGTGCAATAATCATGCTGTCTAATCAGCATCTTGATATGCCACACCTGTGAGGTGGGATGGATTATCTCGGCAAAGGAGAAGTGCTCACTATCACAGATTTTTTCAGATTTGTGAACAATATTTGAGAGAAATTATTATTTTGTGTATATAGAAAATGTTTTACATCTTTGAGTTCATCTCATGAAAAATGGGAGCAAAAACAAAAGTGTTGCATTTATATTTTTGTTCAGTGTAAGTAACCGGATCAAAGTAACATTACGTAGGCTACAGTCCGCGGCACTGTGAGTGCAGACGTCGATGTGTCCCATTATCATTCATATCACATCATAATGTATCATATATTTCCTTATCTGAGTCAGCTGAGCCGTATCTGGCCGTGCAACACTCACAGTGTCACATACTGTATGCAGAAGTAACCAGGTTAGGTTGAACCAGCTTCGTAGTACAGGCCTCTGGTCCCGACCAGGGGGGTATACTACGAATCTCAACCTATCCTGGATATGTTTGAGTTATCCGGTTGACTTAATCCAAAACAAAGTCGCTCTCGCTAAACTGTCCTACAACGCTGGCTATCAACTCGTTCGCTCAAGCCAGCCGTGTCCTTTCTAGTTAGGTGCGCGTTCACATGAAAGTAGAGATGTCCCGATCCGATCATGTGATCGGGGATCGGAGCCGATCACGTGATTTTCAAAAGATCGGAATCGGGAGAAAAAGATCGGGGATCGGGAATTTTTTATTTATTTTTTTATTATTTATTTTTAAATAATTTGTATTTAATGTTACAAAACAAAAATGACCATGTTCACGTCTTAAAGTCATCCTGAGGCCTTAGTTTTGGTTTCAAATTACACAACATCATGTATGTGTTGCTTCTTTTGGGCTTGTTTTCATAGACCTGGTTGCTTATTTCTCTCAAATCTGGCAACAGAGTGGGGCAGGGCGCAGTGTCCAATAGTAGCAGTAAGCTAACGAGAGGCTACGTTCAGCTGGTGACTTCGGGACAGAGAAAATGTCAGGGTTTGGAAGTATTATAAAATTGAAAGCGAAGGCAGTGTAACGGCCAGATGCAATGTGGAGGTTCCGCGTGGTGGAAATAACAGACCTACGTTCTACACGACCAATCGAATACGCCACCTGAGAAACAAACACCAACAACAACACGATGAGTACACTAGGGCTGTACCCGAATATTCGTTCGTTGGAGTACTATTCGGGTTTCAATTTTGTTATTCGGATATTCGTTTTGTTTGTTTTTTCCCCGGTTTTTTTTCAAATTGAATTTATTGAAATCTCCAATATCAACGTAAGAGCTTGTTCGGGGGGTGCTAACACTTAACCATAAACGTTATCGTTTACTTTCTCCGCCTTTATATGTAGATATTACTTTTCCCCGTCACGTTGTTTCCAAAGCAACAACAACTTCCTGTCAACAGCACTACCTCTCCTTCAAAATAAAAGCATGTCCATAAATAGGAAGCCAAGCCAAATTACACTTAAGACATACAACTGCAACAAAAGTAACAAACACAATGCGATATCCGTTTCAATTTCAAAGAACACAAATTGGGTTACATTAACAAATAACTATAAAACAACAATAGTGTAGAATAACAAAATGAATGCCGTGAATACACCGAAACACACGTGTTGAAGTGGTTAGCTGCTGATTACTATTGAATTGTGTTACTGCAGTAAGATGGAAAAATAATGCTTTGTTTATTCATGTTATGTTAAGCTGCTGTTGTTCATTGCATTATTACTAGACTAGTTAGTCTTAAGGCCAGAA